GTAATGGATAAATAAAATTCCACTCCTTATGGCCCCAAAGTAATTGCTGGTTAGTTTTTGATTGGAACTTACTGTTACATAATTCACTACTGAGGACCGTTTTTGTTTTTCATACTGGCAAGGTGATCGGTTTTATTTGCAGATTATCTTATTTTAAAAAAATTGGCAAAAGCTTCTTTACGAGTGAGCTTATTCTCATGTGACTCAGTTCTATCATGATGCATAGAAGCTTTCATATTTATAGGTTTATGAAATCAAGTTTTATTGCTTATGTATATTTCAGAATTGTTATAACTTGTTTTCAGGTAATAAACTACGGCTTGACCATGTCTCTAGAGCATCGAGATGTTGTCAAACATAGTGTCCATATATATTGCACCTGGCTGCGCCATTTGCTGCCATCATCTTCCCATGTTACTGACGACTCATCCGTATATGGTCGTCCTGCATCTCGTTCAGAAGTACCTTTGACTGTTAAACGTGATCCAAATCGGTATGCTCGCGATATGCTCTATGCACTTACGCGAGTCTTTTTGCCACGTGGAGTTGACGCTACTCTTCTTGAATCTACCGGTGGTGTCATTTCTCTCTTCAATGCACTAGGAAAGAGATCACAAAATCGGTCCAACATATCCTCTTCATCTGCTCTCTTAGGCACAAAGCGTCCCACAGATGGATCAGACACATATGGTCAGCCCCCTGATGGCTTGTTTCTTTATATCGCTTATATAAGCGCGCGCTATTTTGGTGCTATTCCTGCTCATATTTTTTCGCTATTATATTTTAGTTCCACACACAACCGTAAATGGAGTATCTGAAGATCCTGGCTCACTGCCTGCCCAACAGCCTGGTTTCACAGGTTCAACAGCACCAACATCTATCAGTGGAACCGGTTGTCCCATTACGGCAACTGCGGTTGGAACTGGCCATTCTTCCCTCGAGTCTGGCATGCATCAGTACCCCACAATTCTTCATCAGGTGATCCTCAGCCCCGATACCCGTCTCCACTCCTCATGCATGCACGTAACCTCATTTATGCTCGATCATAGATAAGAATCATCGACATTCCTTAATTTTTTGCTTTGTACTAATCATAACTCATAAAGTATCTTCTCTATATCGCGCTATTCGTTACTTTTATGGACTACTTGGCGGGACCTTATGTCATCTACTCAGGGCCAACTAATTTGATAATAAGATACATCAAATGCCGTTTATATTGCTATGAAGTGTATTGCTACCTTAACCTATCATTTGGGTATTTTATTTCGACTTTATATGGTTTTTACTATTTACAAGTCGCATCTCGATATTTC